CGTAATCGTTGTATATCAATCGAAAAGCCCTTGTATGCAATTTATTAATTTTTGCATTTGTTGCTTTACTGTCACACATCTACACATGAATATGAACAGTACATGAACTGTGATTTAAAGAAGGCGTTTAACACTATTTTCTTTTTCTGAATGTCGAGATACTTAGCTAATCTTCTAAGAATACTAATTTTTGATTTGTTTTGGCGCAGAATTGAGTAAGATTTTTATTGAAATTTAATTTGTTGCCTATATTTATTCCAGTAGTTTGATATCATTTTCTTTCCAATTTTATATGTTTATATTACATGCTAATCACGACATGTAAATAATTTAAACTGAAAAAAAAAAAAAAAAACATTTTTGCGCGTTTTTATCGGACCATTCGTAAAAAACTAAAAATTTAATGACCAGAATTTATAACGGAATTTTTGATTCGCGATCACTTAATTCGCCGCTTGCATTAATACTTTTAAAAGTTTTTAACGAACTTTCCCATGCACAATTCTATGTTAAATAATAAATTTTATTTTAGTTTTATATTTTAATTCCGAATTATTAGTACATTTGCATCGGCGAACTCTCGTATCTAAATTTCAACCTAGTTTCAACGTTATTTCAACGTTTATTTTTCAACGTTAATTCAACGTTTGTTTTTAGTTGAAAATCAGCGTTTAATTGATATTGAAATTATAACTTTTTTTTTTTAAATTGAACTAACGTTGAAATAACGTTGAAATTTAGATCGTTATTTTTCAACGATATACCAACCATTTCTCGACGTTGAAAAAACGTTGAAATAACGTTTTGTGCTTGCGGAGATAGCACCATTTGATGTCGTATGATTTAACTTCTTGAAGGTAGAATTTACATATTTTACAACAATTATCATTACATATAAATAATCTTACTTTTTTACTGGTTGATTGAATTTTTGAAGAAGTAAGTGTTCTCAGTAGATTGGGTGGTTGTTTAAACGCAATTAAAAAACGATTGGACATTAGAAAAAACTTCTTTCACTCTTTCATTTGAAGATATATTAAGCAAAAGATTTGTTTCAGTAATAAAAGGTTGGCCGTTCAGATTTCTATAAAAAGTTGTTACTAAAGGAAAAATTTATTTTGATTGATTTTAGAGAGCTGGTCCTTGAAGTTTCGAGTTGTGAAATGCTTTTTCAATAATATTATTAGGATATTTGCATTCTTTTAGCCACGCTTTTAATTCTGCTGAACATTGTTTTTCTTTATTGTTATCAGATGCGAAAACAAATATTCTTTTAGCAAGGCCATAAGGAATGTTCTTTTTTATATAATATGGATGATGGCTGTTGTAGTTTAAGTAATCATGAGTATTGGTTTCTTTATAATAAATATCCGTTTTTATTTTTCTGTTGTTTTCAAGAATAATAGATATGTCTAAGAAATTGATAATATTATAAGTATTACCATCTATTATAAATTCTTTGCCCGTGTCTGTTGTAAAACAGAATTATCATTCAATCAGTTTTACAACAGACATTATTTTGGTCAAAGAATTTTTAATCTTAACGATATCTAAATGTTTTGGCCAAATTAAGAAACCATCATCAATATATCTATAATAAAATTCCTGTATGTCATTTACATCTTTGTTGAAAAAGTTTAGGTGAAATCTTAGGAAAAAGTCTTGTTTCTTCTAAATATCCAATTGTTAGGCATGCACATTCTGGAGCGAAATTTGTACCCATGGCGGTTCCAATAATTTGCCGAAATATTTGGTCGTTGAATAGGAAGTTGTTGTTTTTTGAATTGATTCGATGATGAATTGAATCATATGACGAAAAAAATACAATAAAAAAATTTAAGTTACAGCGCATTAAATCTGAGTGTGAGATTCTTACAATAAGAAAAGAAAATTTTTTTTCTTCATTAAAAAACCTTGAGGATGAAGTAACTAGTTTTATTAAAAATCATGCGTCTAGCAAAGAAGTTAAAGAAAAATAAGTATTTCGATACGAGGAATATAAAAAAGAGGATATTGCATTGACAAAAAATGGGCCGAAAAATAGCTTCTACTAAAACCACGTATGAAAAAGACAGAAATAATCAAAATTTAAAAAATTTGCAAAATAATGAACAAGAGGATAACCGCCAAGACCATAGTATCAATTGCTCAACTTCCTCTCGCTCAAAAAATATAGATAGTAATCATAATCAAACGTCAGACATTGTAACTTCAAAAAACTGGTCAAGCCCAATCGAAACAAAATACAACCTAAGGTCATCAATATCTCAAATATCACTTCTTACAAAAGCTCCAAAGTTTTGCCCTAATACTCAAGGAAATATTTTACACATTGATTCTGATATAAAACAATTCACAAGGAATCTAATACTTAAAGAAAAATTTCATGGAACGGAGAATACAGACATAAGCATATTTAAAAAAAAGTCAAATTATAATATTAAAACCACTCTACCATATCTTGATGAAATCATTTCAAAAATTGAACAAATTAAACCTATCAAAATGCAGTCAGTTGACAAAATTACTCAACAAGAAAGGATAGCATTAAGAGATCTAAAAGAAATGAAATATAAAGTTATTAAAAAAGCAGACAAGGGAAACTCTTTTATTGTAGTGGATTTAACTTATTATAATGAAAAATTAGTTCATTAAGACCACCTGCTCTCCGCAAGTACTTATGAAAGGACAAAACCTGAATCAGATAAATTAACTTTTAGAGATCTAATAAATATGATAGAAAAATATATTTTCTAACAAAAAATGAAATAAACTACTTCACAAATTTTAAATGAAAATCAAGTCCGAAAATTCATAAATGTCAAGAAATTGTAGACAAAGTTAACGTATTTAACTCACATTATATCGAAATGAAATCACCAAAAGATCTCAAAGGTAGACCAATTATTGCTGGAATTAACTCACCAACATCACATTTAAGCCAGTTCTTACATATAATTTTCTCTTCAATTGTAACAAAACAAAATATTTTCATTAAAGATTATTGGGATTTTTTAAGAAAGACACCAAGAGAGTTAAATTCGGATAGTTGTATTTTGACTTGTGACAATCCAATCTATATACTAGTATTCCACACAATCTAGGTATAGAAGCATTAAAGTACTGGATTGAAAAACATAAAAGTTTAATAGATAAAAGATTTACTCCTGAATTCATTATGGAATCAACATACTTTATTTTAAAAAACAATAACTTCCTATTCAACGACCAAAGGTTTCGGCAAATAATTGGAACAGCCATGGGTACAAATTTCGCTCCAGATTATGCATACCTAACAATTAGATATTTAGAAGTAACAAGACTTTTTCCTAAAATTTTACCTAAATAATTTTCAACTGATAAGAGGGATTTAAAGTTTCATGCCCGAAGGCAATCATAAGCCGTAAATACCGTTAATAGCCGTTAAACGCTCCACCATTTATTAACGGTGATATATACATACATAACCGTCCTCCTGAAACCAGGTTAAGTGTCAAGTCTGTTCCCAGAGAAACCGCCATATGCCTGTGAAAGCTTATGACCTGGGGATTCCAGAAATACCAAAAATCAAATCATACTATTACGTCAATGTTGAATTTTATTATTTATAGCACCGAAATGTGAAATGACAGCATTCAAAAATTTTTCATTTTTACAGTATTCTTTAAAAATAAAGCTTTTTTATAAACCAATAAAGTTTTCAAAACATAAGTATTGAAAAAAAAATTCAGATTTGGAAACAAAACTACATGTAAATTCAATCCCAAGAAGAAATTTTTGGATTTTCTTTAATTTTCTCTTCACCATGACTAATTTTATCAAAAATTCTTGCTGTTGAAGTCCACAAGGCAGTAAACAAGCCTCTGTCTATATACTGGGTGACCAATGGGGCGCTTGTATTTTGTCCAATGAGTATTGAAATGATGGCGCATGGCTTCTGTTGTCTGTTCACTATAAATTCCGAGAGAAGATTTGTTTTTAAAGTCTTTTACGTGGTTAAAAATAGTGTGCACCTTGGGTGTCACACTTCCACATGATAGAGCTAGAATCATTTTTTTCTGCAAAGCTTTCATCCGATTTGTTGCCAAATTATGTTGACACAACTTCTCCAAATTTTCGAAAACTTTCAATAATTGGAAAGATCTGCAAGGCAGCATTTTTATCTAAAAGAGATTTCAAAATGTCGTGGATTTTAAGCAGTTTATGACAATCATTTTCAACAAATTGTCCTTCATGAAAAGTCTGAGCTTTTATGTTTAATGCTTGAAACCACTCATCTGCTTTTGGTGGTATGAAGTCAAAGACAAAGGCAGAATCACCAAGTGAAATTATTGGTTCATGAATCACATTTCCAAACTTCTTAGCATTTTTTGTATTTGAGCTAGCTGCTGTAAACTCATTGAAACACTGCTTCAAAGACCCAAATGTTCGAATTGTCTCACAATTTCAAAGGTTTGAACTCTCTGCATTGCACCAAGTGCAGGAATGGGAATGGCTTGTGAATGGGAATAAGAATGGCTTGTAAGTCATAAATGGTGTTTGCCAATTACATATCACAAGAGATAACAAAATTGACATCTTTAATGGCAAAAAGTGAGAGAATGAGCTTAACATTTGTGTAGTTTTCTTGAACTCTTTCTGCAATAGCCACAAGAAGTTGCTTTTTGACTCCAGAATCTTTAGAGGCTTGAGATTGCATTTAGCATGAAACTAATAGTTGTGAAAAATATGTAGTTTTATTTAAAAATAATATATGTAAATACGGCTCTGTTTTAATTTAAATCATTTTAATTTACTTTAATTCATCGAGCACTCTCGCAAAGATATATGCAAGCACTAATACGTATACATATATATATATATATATATATATATATATATATATATATATATATATATATATATATATATATATATATTTTATATATATATATATATATATATATATATATATATATATATATATATATATATTGATAAACACTTTTTCTTTTTTTTAGTGACTTTGATACTAACTGGAGCATCTTTATTTGTAACATTGATTTTTGCCGTATTTACTTTATGGAAAAATTTAAGAAAAAAAAAAGAAAAGGAGACAAATGGTTATTATGAGCTAATTATTAATGATCTTAGCAAAATTTCGTTTAAAAAAGTAAAACCTCAAATACTGATAAAACCTTATAGAAAAAAAAAATACCCTTGGGTTTGTTTATTTTTTTGTTTTTTTAAATTTTGAACTTTTTACAAATATCAATTTTTAATAAACTTGTTTTATATTTATAGCCAAAGCCGACTGAAAGGGAAGATTGTGATGCAATGTTATGCAATGCACGCAATGCTTCGGGTACTTTTATGTTCTTTTATGTTAAAATGTTTGTTTTGGGCTGTTTTTATATGTAAAAGTTTTTGAATCTAGTTAGTACTCTCTAGTCCTTTATACAAGGAAGGGTGGGGGGAGAAATAAAAGAAAGTGTGGTGGGAAATTTATTCAAGATCTAATAAACGGGGGAGAAGGGGGAAGGGGTTTATAAAGGAAAAGGGGAGAATATTTTTTTGTTACAATTTAAGTATTTTTTACAAAAAGTTTCTGTTTATAAATCCAAGCTAATATTTATTACAAAACACACATAATGGATTGATTGCGTCTAGACTTTGAAGAGATCAGACGCATTTTAAGTGTTTGAAAAAAAAGTTTGAAACATTTTACGCTAAAATGGCGCCGAGAGAATTTGGTGAGTTGTTTTTGAATAGTAATAAAAATCTCGTAAAAAACTGTTATGCAATGTGGAAGAAATTTGCTCCCATCCTAAAGATGTAATCATTGATGAGTTTTCAAAACTCTAAAAGAAAGATATATTTAGTCTTAAAAGTTTTCTGTTTACGGAGATCCTAGAAAGCTTTGAACTAGAACAATTTTCTTCCTTAAACATAAGTCTTATGACCCTTGAATAAAAATCTTAGAAAAAGGTACAAGGTCTCTTAATGTTTGGATGACATTTATTTACCATCTATCTTTCTTGCAAAAAAATAGCTTTACAAAGAGTAAACTAAACTCAATAATTCAAAAAGAGTTAGAGAAAAAATAACTACAAATGTGACAGACATAAATATCTTGTTGTATTTAAAAGACCTTAATGACCGCTTAAAGACACTGCAATTAGATAATGTAAAAATTTAGGAAGATCATTGCATACTGCAAGGGAAATATGATGAACTCCAAGAATCAAATCCTGATATTAGAAAAAAATCTGCAACAGCTGTTTTTTAACTACGCCACTACACTACATCGTTCCTCCAAAAACATATAGAAAATAATATTGTTCCAAATTCAAAAGATTTTCTTTCATAACTCAAAATCATACGCAACGTAAAACAAATCCATCCTTCACCGTAGACGATAAATTTAAAAAAATGAAACAGGTTAAACTTGAGCACAAAAAGTTAAAATACGACCAAAAATGGCATACCATAATACCATAATATCACCACCCCCTTTAATACAACAGTTTTCAAAAAAAGTTGAACATAAAAGTATTAATCGAGATTGTTTGGAAGAAAAAAAAATTATTATTAAAAACAAGGCGTATCTACTGCAAAGAAAAAACCAATCTTTGCGAATAAAATTGCTAAGTTCAAAAACTCTACTGCAGGAAGCCGTATTCTTCAAGAATTCATTATATTTGTTAGAGGAGTTTGTATTTCCATACCAGAAGCTCTTTTGTTTAACTAAGTAAAGAAAGAAATAGGCGTCGAGCCGATTGTTGTCACACTCAACCGGGTAAATAAATATAACCGCCCTTTCAAAGAAACAATTAAAAATCACAAAAAACACGCAGTCCTAAAACCGGAAGTTTGGGACCACATTATTATTGTTAAAAACTTTGGAAAACCTTGTGAAAACCTCAGTAATTAAAAGTCAATCTAACGTCGTAAATCAATCGGGAGTGGAAAATCAACTATACGCCTCCATCATTAACACATACGAAGATAAAGGAGAGTGCATAATTGCCGGCAATATTTAGTCATTTCCTAAAAACAAATATGACACCAAAGTTCGAAATAACCAAACACGAAACAACTTTTCTAAGAATTTATCTAGTTTTCTTAAAACAAATGAGTTCTCATTTTGGATATAATTAGTGGTTCTGGTCCTACGTATACCTATAAGCATAACCCGCTATATAATTCATATTATATCGATCACATAGTAGTCTTAAAAGAATCAGCAATATGCTTTACAAACTGTAAAACTGTTCCTCTTTTACATTTAAACATGAATGACCATTTACCCATCGCTACACTATTAATCTTAAAAATTCTAACTTCAGTTATAAATAATATACTTGAAAAATAAATACAATCCAAAATTATGTATGGAAGGATGATAACTTTATTAAAATTAATCAAAATTAATATTCGGAACCTCTCTCAGTTCTTCAAAGATTACACTTTTATTGGAGAAGCAATAGAAAAACAAACTCAAACAGCATGCGAAAAAAATAAATAATGCTGCTACTTTAGCAATGGAGGAATGTTTTCAAAAAAAAAAGAATTTTATATATATAAATCATGGTGGACACCAGAAATTAAATTATGCAAAGACATACTCTTTCCACTTTAAGCAATGGAAAAAATGTAACTATAACAGATGGCAGAAATCCATTTCATTTAATAAATACAAGCAAGCTCGTCAAAATTTTCGTAAAACTGTAAAAGCAGCTCATATACTAAAATTCAATAAAGTTACCAAAAACATTGAATATGTTAAAGCTAATCCTTAAAACTTTTGGAGCAATATCCGAAAAATTAAATATAATCAAAACACTCAATAATAAGAAACAAGAGAGAAAAGAAATTGTTGAAGAATTTCGACAAAATTTCAATACGATTCTCAACACTCCCACAATTACTAACAACAATCCTGAACACTGCAATATTCCCCAAATTATTTTTAAACCTAATAAAATACTCTTATCAACTTTGGACATTAAATCTTGTATTCGTAAATCTAAAGTCTAATGTATCACGTGCTTCATGTGGAATTACTGCAGAACATCTTAAATACTTTTCTAGCAACAACCTCATTACTTGGCTTTCAAATTTTTATAACAGTATCTTTAACAATGGAGCTGTGCCGGTGTAATTGTCAAATTCCATAATTATTCCAATTTTAAAATCATATAAAAAATCTCCTAATAATTCAAATAGGTATTGCGGTATTATTATCACACCTACCTTGACAAAACTCTTTAAATATATTGTCATGCAAGTATTTCCGGAAATTTCAGACAGCCATTCTCATCAACTTCGTTTCAAGATATAATAGCTCCACCGTGCATGTACAGTTGCTATTGAGTGAGAAATTAAAACACTATTATAAAAACAACTCGCCAGTAGATATTTGTAGTTTAGATGCAAATAAGGCCTTCGATAGCTGTAACTGGGATTTGCTTTTTAAGAAACTTTATTACAACAAAAACTTACGGCTATCAGTAGGTCGCGCACTGTAATCATTATACCGCTATACCGCTCGGATACAGCTAATATATCATACCTTGGACATAAATCAAATATCATCCGCTTGTCTCAGGTTGTGCGACAAGAATCCATTTTATTGTCACATTTATAAAACATCTACACTGAAAGTATATTAAGTCAAAGTGTTTCCGAATTTAAAGTTGGAACAACAGTAATGTGTTTATACACTGGTATTATTGCTTATGCAGATAGTATAATCGTGCAAAGTCTTACTCTTTCTGGACTGCAAGAGTTGATCGAAAAAGCTCAAACGCAATCTCAAATCTCTTTATTAAAATAAACACACACAAAAAAAAAAACTTTCATTTTTTCCGGTAAAAGTTTTGTTACAAAAAACATAATAGAAATTAACGGTTTTTCCCTGAAACCGTTAATTTCTATTATGTTTTTTGCTAAGTTTATAATATCCTCTAACACATCAAATTTCTTTAAATTTTTTCATAAGCTAGTTTATTGTATTTTATAATATCATTAGAGTAATATTCGAGAATTTCATTTGTGTCATATATTGTGTCATATATTGTGTCATATATTGTGTCATATATTGTGTTATATATTGTGTCATAATTGTACGTATATTGTGTCATTATTGTCATAAGTTCTTGCGATAGTTTTTCGCGTTTTAGCTTTTGCTAAAATAATTTCCATTTTATCTTTTTAGAAAGTTTCATTTTAATCTTTTTATAAAAAGACTTGATTCTGGACAGGTTGATACTGTTGTGTTCCTTATTATGGGTGCAGTTACTGGTTTGATGGAGGTCGTTTCTCTCAAGTTTCATATTAATAGTTAATAAGCACAATCAACACACAACTAAAAAAAGCCTCCCCTCGATGGAATGGCCAATTGATAGTACTGAACCATTAAGAGTAAAAGTTTTTTGAGGGTGTTAAAAATTGATTACTAATAAGTAGCGTCAAAAGAGGGTAAAAAAAATTTAAAGAGCAAAGTGGCGTCAATGTCGATGTCGACAAAGGTTACAGCGTCAAATGGTGTCAAACTTAAAGTTAAAATTTTTAACAAAGGTGGTTGCCTTTATTGGTCGCCTCAGGTGGCCTCATGTGGGTTGCCTCACATGGCAACCCACATTTTGCATCTACTACTCAGATTCAATTTCAATAAACAAAAAACCTGATTACTAAATTAAAGAAATGCACACAAACGCCGACGAAAAAGATGACGACCAATCCATTGTACATATAGATAACAAATTCCTTTTCATCCACATCGGATTTAAATGATGACTAACTTCGATTGTTTTTACAACTTAAATTAAGTGATTTGATCTAAGATCTGATGCAGGCTAAAGACCGTATTAAACTGTAAGCATCAAGGTTAAAAGAAAAAAAGCTAGTAATAAAAAGGTGTTGAAATATCAATTTATCGTAAAAGTTCACAAAAGATCGTTTCATTTTTTTCAAATGCAATATTTTTATTGTTATTGCAATGACATTCATGGTTTACTTTAATTTTTTAAACAGGAATTTCACTGAATGAAGTCTTTATATTGATGCCTCAAAAACGAGTGTCAAAGCTCTACAACCCGTGCCTGTGTTATGTTCAATGCTCATTACAAGAAACCTTAAAAAATAATAAAAATATTACAAATATCATACAGCACAATAAGCATTAGTGGATTCATTTGCCGAAAGGAAAACCATTGCAATCCTAACTGAACTTTCAATAAATATACAAAGATTATGATACAATAACTTTTTTTAAATATAGGATAAATTCCCAAAATTGAGTTTCGCCAAAGTAACTAAAAGTATTTTCATCGGATTACAGTTAAGACACCTGCGACTCAA